CCTGCTCCCCTCCGCCCCGAGGTGTGCAGAGGCGGGGAGAGGAGGAACGGTGATGGCTTTACTGCTGTCGGGTCGAGTCTCTGCTCTCTCCCTCGACCTCCCAACCCAACTGCATCCAAAACAGCGCTTTGGAACGGCAGGGTTGGGGGTATCTCTGCCCAGACCCAAACTCCCGCACTACGAGAAATCGCTCTTCCAATATGATTCACTGGATTTTGCCCAACTTTACGGCAAGCTGTAGGCTTTATTAAGTCCCGCTTTTTAATTCTTCACCATCCCCCGCGTTTTTTCTTCACTGTTGCCAGCCACCCTTGCCCGTGTTGACACCCAGAGGAGCTCCTGACAGTCACTTTTCAGAGTCAGATATTGGGCTCGCCGGCGGTAGTTTTAACTACTGCCTCGGTTTTCACGCCTATTTTTGGAGAGCAGAGTAGCGTAAATGAGTATTCCTGATGAAGGTAGATTTAATCGGGTTCTTTACAAAATCTATTCCACCTTCCTCCCTCCCACCCCCTAGATACCATACCGAGGTTTGCATTTTTCATGGCGGGACAGGCAAGTCTATAAAAGGCATGTTTGTTTTTCCTGGCTGTTTCAAATATGTATTTCCTGGAGGACTTTGCATCTAACGGGGTCATCAGAAGCACATGTGCGATTTTCATCTGTCCAAGTGCTTTCTTCTCTCCCCTCTTCTCCTGAGCAGCAGCGTTTGCTGATGTAACATTTTACCTGTCTGCTCACCTTAGCTCCCACTAAACCTCTCCGTTTCCCTCTGAGTCCCAGACCCTTGGCGGAGTCCCAGTTTGTTTCCGTGTGGCTGGCTGGGTTTTTTTGTTTTTTTTTTTGGGGGCACTTTTTTTTTTTTTTTTTTTTTCCCCTGTAGGACAGGGGTTGGGCTGGAGGCAGGAATAGCTCATAGCTCTTCCGCCCAGCAAGCCCGACCGACCGCTAGGCAGCCGCCACCTCCCGGTACCCCCGGGGCGCGGAGCGGGACCCGTCTCTGCGACACACCGGGACTCTGAAGGATAAAGGAGAATTTGATATTTAGAGCTGGAGGTTGAGCGTTTTCGCCCAGCGGAAGGAAAAAAAAAAAAGAAAAAAGAAAAAAAAAGAACCAAAACTCAACCAACAACCAAACGCAATCCTCCCTCACCCCCTTTTATTTAAGTGGGAAGGCGATGGACCTTCTCGCCGAGCAAGGAGCCGCCTCCCCGGAGCAGGGAGGGGAAGCTTTGAGCTCCGCTCCCCGCCGCAACCTGGGAAGAAGCTGATCAGGCAGCCCGGCTCTTAAGTTTAAGTATGTATTTTTCCAAAGCCCAGAGCTACTCTCCTTCAGACAAAACCCTCACCTTTTCCTTGTGTGCCGAAGCACTGAAAGTTCCCTTCAGTGTATTTTTCTTGGCTGTTTGAGACGCAGCCTTTTGATTCACTAAGCAGAGGAAGTTAAAGAGCGAGGGCCAGTGGCCAGTGTTTTCATCGCCATCCCCCTAAGTTATTTGTCATGCTCAAGTGAGGGGTTTGTTCAAGGCAAGATCCTGCTCATACCGGGCTGCATTTGTTCCTCCTAAAGAAGGCAATAGATTTGGTTTCCGGGTCTGGTAACAGGAGCCCGAGTGCTTTACACAAACATCGCTGGGCAGGCAGGGGCACTTCCAAGGCTTTTCATTCCGGGGCTGGGGCAGCCCCCCTCAAACACATGCTAGGGCTTCAGTTAGGCCCGAACTGCTGAGCCAGGGGAGGCGAGAAGAGGGGACGTAGCTTTCTCCGGAGTAGCCCACAAGAAATATGCCAAGCAGGCGACTTCTCTCGTGTAGATTGTGTTGAAAGCCTGCAAAATGGCTTATAGTATCCAAAGGAAAACGCAGCCACGCAGCCTTTGGTAGATGAGATGTGACCGTGCTTCCCAGAGGGTCCTGTTTATCCCCAAGCTCTTGCAAGGGCTTGCAGAGGGAAGGCGTTTAACCAGCTGGATAGCAAGCTTTAGCACACGTTCCCCTACTTATAGGAAAGGCTCTTATTCCAATAAACTTGCTCCCTGTCTCCAGTAAAGCGTCATGCTCTCCTTCAGTGACTATACCACATCTTCAGTAGCCTGTCGGGATGCTCTCCCCTCACGTCCATCAGTATTTCCCGGCAGGGTGATGAGCTGCGCCCTGGCAGAACAGCCAAAATTGCTTTCTGTCTCAAATGTGCAGTTTCTCTCATAACCCTCTTCAGCACACCACCAGGACAGTTAACACTTGTGTAATAAAGTGCTGGCCTTCCCAGCAGAACAAATCTGCTCTAGTACACCGTGAATATTCAGCGCCCTGCTATCTAAAGGAATTGCTTCAGTTACACTTCTGGGGTCCGTAAATGCTGCATTCATTAGGTAATTTGGTGAGGTTCTAGTTTGAGGGCAAATACCACACATATTATATGCACGCGTATGTATATATATGTACATGTGTGTGTGTACACGAGAGAGACCGAGCGTGGTTTTTCCCCTAGGTGTCCAAGCTATAGGGGCTCAGCTGTGAGATTTACGCACCGCATCCCGGCCTCAGCCCGGGGATAGTCGGGGGAATTTCATGGGGAAAGACTGCCGGCTCCACACCGTCTTTTTTTTTATCTCCCGAAACCTGCGTGGGTACCCCGTAAACAACCAAACCTGAGATAAGATATGCCCCATGTAATGTAATGCTAGTGAATCATAACTAATTTGTTTAAAACCAAGGATTAGTCACGTCAGTTTCGGCATATTCCTCTATCGGGAACTTTTTTTTTTGTGCGTGGAAAATCGGGGGGATTTGCGCTAATTTACCAGACATCATTACTAAGGCAAGTACGGTCCGATAAAATGAGTCTTAACATGTACGGGTTTTCAGGTTGCATTACACATGTCCCATCATCTGGGCTTTAAGTTGTGTGCACCCTTAATGCTAGATTGACCTGCAGATTTTTTTTTTTTTTCATACTGCATGATTTCTGTTTCTAGCTGTCTTTAATTGACTTCAGCGACTCGCCCTCTCTTCCTTTCTCCGTATATAAGTGATCCTCGCTGCAATTTACAGTTTTCATCGCCCCTCGCTTTCAAAGGGCCTTTCTCACCCTGTCAGCCCTTCATTTACTTTCCCCGATCGAATTCTGCCTCCTCGGTGCAATATGACCTTTTATTAACCACGTAAACCCCATCCTGTTTTCATATTGCCTCTTTAAATGTTCCCCATCTTGGCTTTACTGTTTCTCTAATCTTTTTTTTTTTTTTTTTCCCCCCTCGTGCTGGTTTCCTTCCCAAACTTATTTCTACCTCTAAAAATACAAAATAATTAACTAACCAATTAATTAATTCTTTGCAATATTGCACTGCTGCATGTATTATTTTACAGGGAGCGGGGACCTTCTGCAGCCCTAGGAAGCAGTGGTTCCTATACTTGCGAAATGTTTATTTTCGAAGGATTAAAATTCATAGCTAAAATTATTAGATGCCCCTCAACGGAAATGACAGGATCTGCTGTTTAGACCCAAATGCACGCAGGACCGCACTGGTACGCTCCCCCAGCAGAGGCAACAGCCGCATCATCTCCGCTGCTGAAAAATCACCCCAAGGAGCAGGAACAGGAGGAGCATAAACCTGAATATATCATAACACTGTACCCCGCTGCACCCCAGCATAACGAGAACACTGGATTTATAACCACGAGTCAGAGAGCTTTTTTTCCGAGGCCGACCCTCCCCTTTACCGACATCCATACCTTCACTTCTATAGACTTTAATGGGGCCTCAGAGAAATGTGCTTTTAGCGGGCACCCACAAACGCACAGAGGCGCTAATCCAGCCCCAGATTATCTCAAATTAGGACATTGCCCGCACAAAACTCCCGCTGATTGAAATTTCAGCCAGCGTCTGAAACCTGGACAAGATCTTTGCTGATCTACGCATATTTCTATCCCGCTTGAAGCCATATCGTTTTCTCGGTTTATTTTTCACAAGAAATTCGTTTTAGGAAAGGAAAAAAAAAAAAAGTATAAAACCCCTTGCTAACTCCGAGGAACATTTAAACAGATGATATATCACATTCGGCTTCTAGCAAAGAGTTGGTAGCGAGGGTGCAGGCTGTCATGAAATGACCCTGAGCTCTTGTCTTTTAATGAAGGAAACTCGGAAGCAAGTTGTCTGTCCCTTTTGCCATCCTGTGCTTACAGAAAAGGGCGTCGGGGGAGAGGAGGGGAGGGAGAGAAGAAAGGAAGGAAAAGGAGAGGAATAGAGAAATTCCCTATATCACTCCCACGGGCAAGGATTTTGCAGCCCAGCCGTGCCGGACCCCGGAGCAGGATCTGGCCACCCTCAGTTTGCGTGGGGCGAGGTGGGGCGGTGGGGGCGGTTTTCTGCCGGGGCCAGCGGACACCGGGGCGGAAAAGCCCGCAGCCTGCCCGGCCGTGCCTTCGGGGGCAGCAGGTGGGCGACCTTCCCGCTTCCCTTAGGGTCCACACGGTCCTTCCCCGTGCCCTCGCCTCCCCGCTCCCTCCCGGCGCACGCCGCTTCCCCGGGCCGGGCCGGAGCTGCCCCCGACGTGCCCGGATGTTGCTCCGCGGGTCACCCCAAAACGGGGCAGGGGAGCGGGGGTGCCGTCTGACGGCCCGGGGGAAGGTGGGGGGCGAAGCCCGCTCGCTCCTGCGGCGGCAGGCGGGGACCCCCGGGAAGGAGGGTTGGGGGGTGGCGGGGACCCCGACACCGCCCCGGGTGTCCGCCGCCTCCCCCGGCCGACCGCCGTCAGCCCCGACCACCGGGCCGCCCGCTCTGCTCCGCTCAGGGCTGAGCCCGAAAACACTCCGCGGGCGAGTGAAGCAACCGCACGCTGAGTTAAATTTCTAAATTTTATTATAAAATAAAAGCAGAAATATTTTCCAAAGAATGTATTCACATAATATAAACAATAAACAAAACTAAGGTGAGTGACTTGCGGTTGATACTGTCGTTTAGGTCTAAACTTGAGCAGCAATTTCTCTTTTCCTTTAAAGCCCGCTCCTGCTCTCGGCGCCCACAGAGGGGAGAAGCTGCCCCTGCCTTCCTCGGGGGCCGGAGCCAGGCCACCACTTCCTTTCCCACCCAGCAAATGGCGAAAGCACCACATGGACAAGGCCAAAGAAGCCGTCTCTCTGCATAGCATCAGCTACAAGAAGGTTACAGAGTCTGCCTAGAGCGCGTGTTGCTGCTATAACTTGACTACAACTTTTGTATTCTTAGTTGAAATTGTACATCGTACACCTGCCACGGATACATAACTACAATAGAATAACGGGAGCGATGTGTTAACTTCAAACCAGGCATGGAAACAGCGGCCCTTGCGCTCCCCTTTCCTCCCCACCCACCGAAAATAAAAGATTACAATGTGCCTCTTCCCACACAGATCGGCCCGATCGAGTGGCACCACCGAGAGATTCATGAAGTTAAGGCTGGAGAGAGCTGCTAACACCGAACCGCCTTACAGCCTGCCGTGAAAATCACAGCTCCTGTCCGACAGCCCTTACACGCCTGAGACCACCTTTAAGCAGCCCTTAAGGCTTTTCACAACATTACTGCCCACAGCCGAGTCTGATACTTTCCAAACCTGCAGCCAGCCTGCTGCCAAAGGGCACAACACGTCCACTAAGGAGTGTGTCATCGCTTTCAAAGTCTCTGGTAAAATTAAGGGAAAAAAAAAAAAAAAAAGGAAAAAATAGAGTAAAGGAGGGCTGATGCGAAGGAGGGAGCGTGTACGAGGTTTTAAGAGCCCAGATCGACCAGGTTGGACGACATGGGGTTGAGGATGGAGTCCTGCAAGTTGTGGTGGTGCATGGGGTCGGCGCTGGGCACGGGGATGGCGCTGGGGCCCTGGGGGTGGCCCAGGCCGTGCAGGGGCTGCAGCCCGGGGTTGGAGCTGAGCAGCAGCGCGGGGCTGGAGGAGGTGTGATCCGGGGTCCCTGACGGCGTCTTCTCGTCCTCTGAGCTCCCCAAAACTGTCTTATTCCCGTTCATTGACGCCGAGAGCGGGTTGTGGCTGTTGGAGTTGGAATTCTCGTTTTTTTCCCTATAGGAAACACAAAAGAGGGAGGGAAATCACCGTGTGGCCGCCGCTCCGGGGCGCGCACCGCGGGAGCGGGGGCGGAGGGCGGCGGGGAGCCGGCTCCCGGGGGCGGCGAGAGGAGGGGGAATGCAGAAACAGTGGGGTTACAAACTCTGCAAACCTCCAAGGCCTCTTCATCTGGCACAAAGGTCTAAGGTCCGCCGAGCTTGTAAACAGAGTCTCCCACCAGCCCAGCGGAAAGTGTCACTTTGCCAAAACGTCATTTTCTGCCTCCAAAGCATTTGCAGAGCGTGGTGGGGGGGAAAGAGGGAAGGGGGAGGAAAGGAAGGGAGGGAGGAAGACATAAGGAAAGGGAAAAAAAAAAAAAAGACCAAGAAAGAATTTTTAACTTTAAAACTGCTCCCGGAGCTGAAGAGAAGTTCGGCCGCAATTTCTCCTGGGAAGGCCAAAACAGGGCGAGCTGTAGGCAGGATCGCTCTGTGCAGCAGCACAGCCTCCCAGGCTCGCATCGGGCTGGAAAGGCTTTTGCTTAAGTCACTGGAGGGTTTTTTTCCCCCTCGCCCCGAGCTTAAAGCTCAAAACATAGCCCAATATGGAAGATAAGGCAAGCAAACAGAGTTAACTCACTTATTTCCCCAGCCCTCTCGGGAAATGCTCCGCGCGCAGCCCCGGTGGCCCCGCACCCGGCTCGGCGGCGGGAGAGATTGCTCTGCCTACCGACAGAGGCAGCCGGCTCGGAAAGGCAGGACGTAATTTCAAAATCCATCACCGGGTAAATACCGAAAAATAGCTGGAGGCTGGCCAAACCCTTACATATACATATATATGTATATCTCTCTCTATATATATTTTTTTTCCGAAATGAAAGGGGAAAGATGGGGTGGGGGCGGCAGTCCCGTCAAGGCTAAGGCGGCTTTAAGGCATAGCCCTCGTAGAAATACTTTAGACACAGCCCTGCCTGAAATACTGAAGGCATTGCAAGCCTATTTAAAAGCTTCTGCGGAAGCTTTGAAGCACACTATCTGGCAGAGGGGCCCTATCCTGCAGGATTTGGTCGAGTGATGTGAAGCCCTTGCGCTGACGGTTTTTCCTCAATAAGGGCTGCAGGATGTGGCTGGAGACACTTTGTGCCAAAAAAATAAAAATAGACAAGAAAGCTCTGTTTGAACAAGTTTGCTTGACTGAATGGCAATCCCATGAACGGTCTGTTTTCCAACGCCTGGAGTGTAATATTAGGTTGAGTGTATTTTTCAATGTCAAAAATCTTATTTGTCTCTGGAGACCTTTAAAATTTGATTCCTCGGGAAAAAAAAAAAAAAAAAAAGAATGGAATAAATGTAACCTTCATTTCCTTTGGATATTTGAAGGTGAGTCCCCGCTATCAGCAATAAAAAAGATCTCTAACATCTCGTAAAACCAACACTTGCGGGGATTTGAAGGAAAATTAAAGCGCTAGCACCGTTTCGGGAAATGTACGGAGCAAATCCGTGCGGAGCTCGAACCTGCCGGGCTGCACAGCTGCGCTGCCGGGGCGCTTCCCCTTTCCAAAACGCGTTAAAGGCAGAAACGAAAAAAAAAAAAAAAAGTCTCCTCGGAGGGACGGATCTACGGGAGATTTCTAATCCGTTAATTAGCCACGCAGGCCCTACGATCAGATCCATATGGACCGGGCAATTGAGCGAGCCTAGTGAAAAGCCACTGTGCAGTTAGAGGACGCTTTTTGCTTCTTCGAACCGTCTCCCTAAAGTTCGGGGACTGCTGACGGAAAAGTCATCCCGAATACCCAAGGATGTAGGCATTAACCTCTGCCCGGCAACTAATGGTCCCTTCACTTCATTTAACGAGAAAAACACCGCCTCAGAATCACGCTCGGTATAAGAATATACGTCTATTATCACGCATTCATTAGGACCTTGCTGGGTAGTGAGTACGAACTGCAATTTAAGGAGCGAGGTAAGAAGTTGCTCCGTTCAGTCCCTGTCTCGGTGTCCCGCCTCACGCCAGGACACGACGTTAGAGGCAATTTTTTGCGAACCACCATTTGCAGCGTTCAGACCCGCTCGTTCCCGGCTGTCCCCCGGCTTTCCCTCTCCGCACCGGGGTGACTGACCCCCAAGACACCCTCCCAGCTCTGCGGGGCGCGGAGCCGTCGCCCCC